TACACAGCTTTGTTTTATCCTGATTCAGTATATGTGTGGTGTGCATGTAAAAACATTATCAAGACAGATTATTGGTATTCACCAAGGAAGCATGTTATTAGTAAGATATGATAATAAGAAATTCAGAATGCTAAGAACAAAAGAAAAAATGTGTCCTTTCTATTCCAGCTGTATTTGCATTAATTCAGTATTACATTAAAAAGCTTTAGGCCCTAACAAACCCACTGATATATGCACATTCCTCCTGTTTGTGTGTGCTGCTTGTGATGAGATGGCTGCTAAGAACAAAAGAAAAAATGTGTCCTTTCTATTCCAGCTGTATTTGCATTAATTCAGTATTACATTAAAAAGCTTTAGGCCCTAACAAACCCACTGATATATGCACATTCCTCCTGTTTGTGTGTGCTGCGCTCAAGCAGCTGGCCAATAGGAAAAGTAGTTTTTTACCCCACATAAGTTGCTCACCCTTGCTGGTTTTCTGGATGGGTTTTCTTTTTAAAGACATCTTATCAAGTCTAAACTTGTTTCACTGGTAAATAGCTCATTGGCTTAAGTATTTGGCTGTGAAACTAGAGGTTGGGAGAGATTCCCCACTGTGCTTCCTATGAGTAAAGCCAGCCTATGTGGCCTTGGGCACCTATCCAGGCCTTGCCACTATGATACAAAATAGTCCCAACTTGCACCAGTATGAACCTCATGAAGAGGATGAAGGTGAAGATGTACTTTAGGTCCTTAAATTGCAAGATGTTAATGATAGGATGTTTTGATGGTCATAAATTTATAGACTCATCATAAGCCAGAAACAAACTGACAGCATGTAACAACGAAAACATACATCTATAGGTAATACTGTTATAATTTTAGAATGCTATAGCTTGCCTGACATAAAACTACAGTACTGATAAGTGGAGTTGCCAGGTTACAGTGTGCTGACCAAAATCTCAGGGAATTGCCGTGCTTCCCCAGGTCTCCAGGCAGGGTGACAAATCTGGCTGGGTGGTTCTAGAGAAAAAGTTTGATTTTATCATGTGTGACGGCTCATCCTCAGCCCTAACCACCACCAGGCTAAGTGGTGAAGATACAGTATCTGAATGCAGGTTGGACACATAATATTTGTGTAAGAGCTGAACAATATGCAATTATTAAGTGACTATTCCCTGTGATTTCACAAAGACCTACTTCCTGGACTCAGGTTTTAGGCCTGATTTCTCAGGGAATTGAGAGCTGTTGATCTGACAACACTACCTTTGAGGCAATTCATGTTCCAAGGTAGAGGGGCGCTTCATCCCTCCTTACAGCATTAGTCACCTCTGATGAAGCTCTTGTCCTAAAAAGGATAGCACTCATTCCAAAAGAGAATCCAGTTCATAGGAGTTTTTCCTGTCAGGTTTTTCAAAATATCTTATTTTTCTTTCAGCACAAGACATCTCCTGAAATATCCTGTCCCCACTGCCACCCACCAGGACTTCATCTCTCTCATAGAGAGCAGTAGTTTAAACAGCAGTTTGAAAATATTCAACATTGTAACAAAAAGAACAAGTTTTATTCTTGCTATAATAAGGCATGCTATTTGGGGGCTGCGAGACAGATTAAATACATATTCCCCATGAGCAAAACTACAGATGTAGAACATAGAATGAGATTCAATGCATTTTCAAATACACAAATTATGCTAGGACTACATTACAAGTGCCATCACTGTACTGTATTGTACAAATACACAAATTATGCTAGGACTACATTATAAGTGCCATCACTGTATTGTATATAGAATTTTGGTATGCCAGTTGCATATTACTTCCAGATGCAGCACCTGTCCTCCATCATTTATGTTAGTGTAAACTATATCTTAAATTAAGATATCTATGCTTATTTGGGATTACTTATCTAAATACAGTGCGGTTACTGGAGAGGGGGGCACTTCAGGAAACCCCATTGCCTATTTGGGATTACTTATCTAAATACAGTGCTGTTATTGTGATCCACAAGCTACCCATGCTTCTGAAAAGGAGTTACAGCTGGTCTGGAATACAGGATTCAAATGCCTAAAGAGGTCTATCCTGAAAGATCCTATGACTGAGTTCTTAAACAGCTGCACCAATTCCCACACAAAGTTTCTAGTACTGTACTGTGTTTGATCTTTAAAGCTCCATTCAGCCTTGATGCCAGCTACCTGAAGGAAAATGTTTTCGTTGAGAGGTTACTACTGAGGTTACTACCAGTGTCAGAAATCCATTGAGATGCAAAAGAGAGGACAGCTGGCTCAGCAGCAGTGCCCTGTTTACGAAATTACCTGCCTCTGCTCACTTAATCATCTTTCTTTTTTGAGTTATGATTATTTTCAATTACCCTCTTTAGAAATTTTTCCTTACCTGAAAATCCCTGGGAAAATAAAATTTGTTTAAATGTTGTGATCTGAGTGTGCTTTTATACTATATTAGATCATTCTAAATCACATCCAGTGTTATTACATTACTGAATTTCATCCTTTGTAAGCCAATTTATTACAAGGCAACAGTGCAGAAATAAAATAAAAGCCAGTAAGAGTGCTTCCAGATGGACAGTTCCTAGTGTTACCAATCAAAAAGCATTGATTTTTTTAAAAAAATGTGTCAAATAAAAAGACAAAAGCAGTTCTAGAAAAATCATAAAGGGTCATGACATTGTGTGCCTCCATAAAAGTCTGCGAATAAGGCAGGCTGATTGTGCAATAAAACTGCATCTAGAAGTATCCTGAGTCTGAATAGGTCTCAGTGGGATTTTAGTCTTTCAGAAGTACACATTGGATTGTAGCTCTAGGTGAGAGTCTGAGCATCATATTCTCTTTTACAGAAGCAAATTACATCTGGGATTTACTATGGCATAATGTCATAATAGAACTGGGTTGTTAAATAGCAAGTAAGCATACAGTACGTATAGCCGCCAGGGTAATCCAGGCCTTCTTGGACTGCAACTCCCAGAAACCCTGGCCAGCACAGCTGGCGGCGAAGGCTTCTGGAAACTGTAGTCCAAGAACACCTGGATTACCCAAGGTTGGGAAGCACTGAATCTCTAAGAGCCTCCATTTGTTTCTTAGTTATACAGTATTGTCCTTCCCCTTTCCTTCAGTGAGCTCTTGGTACTTGACTTTCCTTTTCAACACAACATGCTCAGAAAAACCGTTGGGTCAGAAGACAGACAGAGAGCCAATCCCAACGTTACCCAATAAATCTCCCAGTTCCCAAGTACAGTAACCACTACACCACACTCTCTGGAAGTTGAGTCGTGGCAACTGGACTTTTCTTGTTAGGTTGAAACGTTTCGCTCCTCATCCAAGTAGCTTCTTGGGTCACAGATGAGGAGCGAAACGTTTCAACCTAACAAGAAAGGTCCAGTTGCCATGACTCAACTTCCAGATAACCTCGCCTGGGTGACTGAGATCCCTCTTCACATATAAACTACACGGCACCGTTTCACGGAGCCTTCAAACGAAGGCGTGTTATTCCTGAATGTTCCTTCGCACAAAATGTTTCTTGAATGTTACCAAAAACACCTCAGAAGCTGGATTGTGCCCCCACCCCAACCCGCCGTCCCCTGGCAAGGGTCGTTGCCGAGCTGCGCCCCCCTCCCCCTAGTCCTCGTTATGCCGCCCTCTAGCCGGGAGTAGCGCTTTCACACGTTCTCTCGCTCGTTCCGCGGAGCCCCTCCCCGGCCTCCCGTTCTCGGCGTCGTTGCCCAGGAAACAACTGTCCCTGTATGACAGCGGCAAAGGAAGGTCGGGTCAAAGGTCACCTTCCTCTGCTGGTCTGTGTTTGTTTACGTTGAGGTGGCCTTCGTGTTATGGTTCCGTAAACCTATACCGTGTAGAGGGAACTCACATAGCCAGGGTCCAAACGGGCCGGCCCCTCCCCTTCCAGGACGCGGCCGAAGGAGGACTCGAAGCCTAGCGGCGCCAGGGTCCAAACGGGCCGGCCCCTCCCCTTCCAGGACGCGGCCGAAGAAATCAACGGAGGAGTCGAAGCCTAGCGGCACGTTTGAAGAAGCGGACTTGAATCCGCCAGAGCTGACACTGAAACACAGTCTAGTAGACTTTTAAGATGCATTTGAGCACCGAATTCGGGCTCAAAGGCAGTTGTGGGTGGCAGGGGATGTAACGGACCACTGCAACAGTTTGAGGTATATTGTTCTCAGGAAATTTTTTTGGTTAGAAAGTCATACTAGCCTCAGTTACACATCTAATCTCAACTAATAGTAATACTGGGCTACACTGAAGGTTTGTGTTAGACACTACTTTGTCATTCATACACGTCAACAACATTGACTCATACTGTGAGGTTGCTGCAAACTCCTTTTTGACCGATTCCCCCCTTCGTACAAAATGAAGAGCCAATTTCTTTGGCATACTACCTGTTTCGAACTGCATCCCGGAAAAACTGGCGGGGACTGGTCTCCAGGCAGCTGCACCGTAAAAGTCCTTCGTCCAGCCCGTCCCCAAACCTGCGCTACGCTGCGAGGTTACTGCGGATTTTTAGCACTCGCTGACGTTGCAGCGCGTTTGTAAAACGCTCAGCCTGAGGCTTGCTAACCTGCAATACGACGGGCTGTCTTGGCATGGAAAGCAATCTTGCCTAAGCAGGACTGTTTTTGAAAAAAATGCATTCGACACTTTCAGGATGCTAATAAAAGTTTTCACACACGGAACCAGACCTGATTTTTAAAAGAGAAAAGAGTTCTCTTTCTTAATGCTTTTTAATCGGGGTGCAGGAGGGAACATGCTGCCGCCCTGGAACAGCTACAGTGAAGGCTTAGAGATTTTTTTGCCGCCTCGGGGGACGTTTAAAAATGGATCCGCCAACGTGAACTCGAAAATCATGCACACTGGGGCTGGGACGTCTCACTCTCTCATTCTTACCTCTATGTTTTCAACCGACCCGCTCGTCACATTCAGGGATTTCACCGAGGACTTCCGGTTCGCGCGGGGCCCACTTCTGGTTACCGGGACGATCGCTTGGTGGGTGAGAAGGGGCTGTGGTCCTTCTTCTTTGCTTGGTGGAGCCGGAGCTGATGCTGCTCTTGCAGGCCCAAAGAGAGAGAGAGAGAAAGAGAGAGCGGGTGTTCCTTCCCGTTTTAGATCACCAGAGGCCGGTGATGACATTAAGGGGTAAACCTTACAACCAAGGAGTGTCCTATAGTCTCCCCACCAGCAATGGACGTGGTAGCCCAGTCTCTGATGAGGTCTCTTATGCTGTAACGGCTGTAGATAGTAATTTGAGGGTTGTTAAGCCCTACTGCGCTTCTTCTTTCCAAGGAAATCATTTAATGGGGTTTTAAGCTTTATATTATATTAATTATAGCATTCTGCCTTCACAGGAGTGCTAAAGTGAACTGATCTATGTTTCTTGTACTATAGCACATAGTATTCTTGTGGGTAAGAGGTGATGGAGAAGTGCATAAAGAGAAAGTCATCCCTGGTGTGGCTGGTTCTGTCATTTTGTTTCTGTTTCAGGAAACATAGGAGATAAGACGGTTAGAATGTATCAGCCAAGATTGCCCGCACTGGCTGGGAATTGCTCTCTAAAATTTGAGACAAAAAGGCCACTCCTGAATTATGTTGTCACAAATGTAACAGGGGATGTTTTCCATGTAAACTTGTCTCCATCACTGAACTGCATCTGAAAGGAAATGTTTCCCTGGCAGGTGTTTTCAATGAACTCTGTAGAACTACAAGATCTGATTCTTAAAACTGAAAATACTTTACTGAAACAAGGTATAGTTTCTGAATTCAAGTGAACTTTTAGAAGACGGATAGGCAGCTCCCATAATCCTTCAGCATTGACTGTGCAGGCTACGGCTGATGGGTGCTATAGGCCAAAAACCTTCACAGGACTATGTTGTAGGACACAGTGGTCCAAATTCAGGGTTGGGTAATATCTTTATAGCATTTCCTAAAATATCCTTAAAAGAGACATTTCTGAGTCCTCAGGAGCCTGTGGGATGATAGGTATTCCTGAATCTGAGGTAAAATGAGAAACATAAAAGTTTGAAAATAATCCTGGCTAGATGTAACTCTAAGGTAGAGGATGCTGCAGGCTTGACAAATCAGCTTGAGGTGTGATCAGGTCCCTCTTCAGAGATATAACTAGAGGGCTACAATTACCCACATGTGTTGTAGGACATAGTGGTCAACATCCTGTTGCTTAGCATCGTCAATGGCACTAAAGTAGGCTCATTGAGTCATTGGGAATGTGATAAGTGAATTCCTCTGAATTGCATTGATTCAAATGGGTCTACTCTTGTGATTTACTTTAGTATAATAAAGTGGCAGTTAGAGTAGGCTCACTTGAATCAGTGGAGCTTATGGGGTTGGCTCCTTAAACCCCCATTGAGGTGGTGGGCTTACTCTGGGGCTATTTACTGCAATTAACAACAGGATTTTGGTGAGTAAGTATCTAATCTTATATTGGTGGTTTATGTATGTCTTATTGTGTATATCCTGAAGTTTAAGGGTACCCATAATATCAATCACTTTGTAGCTCTGTAGGAATTGAGAGCATTGTTCACTGTGGTAGCAGAACAGAAGTATGAGAACAAAATTGTTGAATTTTAGTTTTTTGGAGGAACTCATTGCCTTACTCATTAGTCTTGGGCACCCAGGGTGTTCTTGTTTTTATCACTGATTTCAATCTGCAAGTGTTTGCACTATAGTGTATATAGCAGCTATGCAACCTTGAGAAAGCTGCATGGTTCTGGAGTGCCACCAGGAGGAGGGTCTAATAACCATGTCAAAATACTTTAAAACTACAGAAAACTGTGAAAGGGTTGCCATCAGTCAGAATCTTGATGAAACATAATTATTAATAGTTGCCTGCAAGCTAAATAATTAACTCTCTGGGTTTTTTCTAGTAGTCCACATGGATATTGCACTTTACAAATATAATCTGCCAGGTGCCATCAAGTCTTTCTTAACATATTGAGATCCTGATAAGGTTTTTAAAGTTTGTGAGATATTTAAGCAGCAGTTCACCATTCCCATTTCCCACAGAGTTTTCATGTTTATGAAAATTGTTGTTGTTTAGTCGTTAAGTTGTGTCGGACTCTTTGTTAACCCGTAGACCAGAGCACGGCAGGACCTCCTATCTTCCACTGCCTCCCGGAGTTGTGTCAGATTCATATTGGTTGCTTTGATGACACTGTCCAGCCATCTCATCCTCTGTCGTCCCCTTCTCCTCTTGTCGTCACACTTTCCCAACATCTGGATCTTTTCCAGGGAGTCTTCTCTTCTCATGAGATGGCCAAAGTATTGGAGCCTCAGCTTCAGGATCTGTCCTTCCAGTGAGCACTCAGGGATGATTTCCTTCAGAATGGATAGGTTTGTTCTCCTTGCAATCCAGGGGACTCTCAAGAGCCTCCTCCAGCACCACAATTCAAAAGCATCAATTCTTCGGCGGTCAGCTTTCTTTATGGTCCAGCTCTCACTTCCATACACTTCCTCATCCGTGACCCAAGAAGCTACTTAGATGAGGAGCGAAATGTTTCAACCTAACGAGAAGTCCAGTTGCTACGACTCAACTTCCAGAGAGTGTGGTGTAGTGGTTACCTCAAGAGCCTCCTCCAGCACCACAATTCAAAAGCATCAATTCTTCGGCGGTCAGCTTTCTTTATGGTCCAGCTCTCACTTCCATACACTTCCTCATCCGTGACCCAAGAAGCTACTTAGATGAGGAGCGAAATGTTTCAACCTAACGAGAAGTCCAGTTGCTACGACTCAACTTCCAGAGAGTGTGGTGTAGTGGTTACTGTACTTGGGAACTGGGAGATTTATTGGGTAACGTTGGGATTGGCTCTCTGTCTGTCTTCTGACCCAACGGTTTTTCTGAGCATGTTGTGTTGAAAAGGAAAGTCAAGTACCAAGAGCTCACTGAAGGAAAGGGGAAGGACAATATAACTAAGAAACAAATGGAGGCTCTTAGAGATTCAGTTCTTCCTAACCTTGGGTAATCCAGGTGTTCTTGGACTACAGTTTCCAGAAGCCTTCGCCGCCAGCTGGGCTGGCCAGGGTTTCTGGGAGTTGCAGTCCAAGAAGGCCTGGATTACCCTGGCGGTTATACGTACTGTATTTTTCTGGAGCTCTCTGGCTTTCTCTACAATCCTGCGCATGTTAGCAATTTGGTATCTAGTTCCTCTGCCCCTTCGAAATCCAGCTTGTACTTCTGGGAGTTCTTGGTCCACATACTGCTGAAGCCTATCTTGTAGGATTTTGAGCATAACCTTGCTAGCGTGTGGAATGAGTGCAATTGTACAGTAGTTGGAGCATTCTTTGGCACTGCCCTTCTTTGGGATTGGGATGTAGACTGATCTTTTCCAGTCCTCTGGCCACTGCTGCATTTTCCAGACTTGCTGGCATATTGAATGTAGCACCTTAACAGTGTCATATTTTAAGATTTTAAATAGTTCGACTAGAATGCCATCACCTCCACTGGCCTTATTGTTAGCCAAACTTTCTAAGGCCCACTTGACTTCACTCTCCAGGATGTCTGGCTCAAGGTCAGCAACCACACTATCTGAGTTGTTTGGGACATCCAGATATTTCTGGTATAATTCCTCTGTGTATTCTTGCCACCTCTTCTTGATGTCTTCTGCTTCTTTGAGGTCCCTCCCATTTTTGTCCTTTATCATGTCTATCTTTGCACAAAATGTTCCTTTAATATCTCCAATTTTCTTGAACAGATCTCTGGGTTTTCCCTTTCTATTATTTTCCTCTATATCTTTGCATTGTTCATTTAAGAAGGCCCTCTTGTCTCTCCTTGCTATTCCTTGGAAGTCTGGATTCAATTTTCTGTAACTTTCCCTATCTCCCTTGCATTTTGTTTCCTTTGAGTTGCCTCTTGTGTTGTTGGAAAAGAGTGTTTGTGATGACCAGCTTGTTCTCTTGACAAAACTCTATCAGCCTTTGCCCTGCTTCATTTTGAACTCCAAGCCAAACTTACCTGTTGTTCCTTTTATCTCTTGACTCCCTACTTTAGCAATCTAGTCCTCTCGAATGAGAAGAACATCTTTCTTTGGTGTCACTTCTAGAAGGTGTTGTAAGTCTTCATAGATCTGGTCCATTTCAGCCTCTTCAACAATCGGTGGTTGGTGCATAAACTTGGATTACGGTGATGTTGAAAGGTCTGCCTTGGATTCCTATTGAAATCATTCTATCATTTTTGAGATTGTATCCCAGTACAGCTTTTCACACTCTTTTGTTGACTATGAGGGCTACTCCATTTCTTCTACAGGATTCTTGCCCACATTAGTAGATATGATAATCATCTGAATTTAATGCGTCCCTTTTAGTTTACTGACACCCAGGATGTAAATGTTTATTCTTGCCATCTCCTGTTTGACCACATCCAGCTTACCAAGGTTCATAGATCTTACATTCCAGGTTCCTATGCAGTATTTTTCTTTGCAGCTTCGGACTTTCCTTTCACTTCCAGGCACGTCCGCAGCTGAGCGTCCTTTTGGCTTCGGCCCAACCACTTCATTAGCTCTGGAGCTACCTGTCCTTGTCCTCCACTCTTCCTCAGTACCATGTTGGACGCCTTCTGACCCGAGGGGCTCATCTTCCAGTGTCATATCATTTAGCCTTTTGTTTCTGTCTATGGAGTTTTCTTGGCAAAGATACTGGAGTGGCTTGCCAGTTCCTGCTCCAGGTGGATTGTGTTTAGTCAGAACTTTTCACTATGACCTCTCCGTCTTGGGTGTCCCTGCACAGCCTAGCCCATAGCTTCTTTGTATTTACCAAAATACAAAAAGCCAAGGAACACTTCTCCTATGACTTAAGCTTCATAAGAGAATTGCACATAACATGAACTATTCCATTAAAATGTCTCTAAAAATTTCGTCAAATGTACTTTAAAATTATTTTTGGAAAGTAGCTTTAAAAAGTTATCATTATGCTTAAAGTAATTTTAAAACTACTTGCTTTATTAGTTTTACTGTAACGTGTAACTACTTATCATTTACTCATTACCCAAAACTAATTAGTAATAATTTTGATTTGTAATTGCCTACAGCCAGGTTTTAACAAGAAGAGAGAAAGGCAATTTTTTATTTCTTATAGAGTAGTGAGGGCTACACTGGTAACATCCAGCCTATATTACTTTAAAGCAAACAGTTAGATAATCTTACAGTCAAGCATTCTGCATTGGCTGAAATGAGAATGGTCACTTAGTGCAGACTGGAAGTGCAGGCAGGCTTGTCTGTATTATATCCTGATTGTTATGTGTTGTGTTAAGCTTTCCCCCAGGAATCATGTTGCAAGCAGACTTAATTAGACCTTTCAAATGAACTTTTCAATGTTTGGCTGCTTTTGGTATAATGTGTCCTGTAGGTGGAGTATACAAAGCACTTATTTGTGATTAAAAGACTGTTTGTGTATTCTTACTCAGATCTTAAGTGAGAAAGAATCCGTTTTATTTGCTTGCTTATTTTATTAGCAGTTCTGCATATAGGCAACTTGTGCTGGCTGTTTAGTTAAGGGTACTGCATTCTTTCTTGAGACTTCTGAGCCTCCTATGATGCTGCATCAGTTTTGGTACTGGTTTGCATATGGACAGATTATAGTATCATAGAAATGCAAATGTAGTACATTATTACGATTGCTTCTTATCTTCTCCCAGCCCTAGTCCAAACTCCCCTCTGGCTATACATATTTACCTGGAAGAATGCCTGGTGTGGGGAGCTTGTGAGTAGATGTGTATAGGATTGGACTATATAAATCTTCCTGTTTATTTGTTTAATTTGTATACCACCCATCTGGCTCCAAATGCCACACTGGACAGTTTACAACTGAATAAGACAGTAATAATATTTATATAAATGTTTTATATTTTAAAATAAATTATATATGTTTTATATTTGTTTATAAAAATTTGCAAAAAGGTATTTCTAGGGAATCATCAACTTTAGACAATAATACTATTGCGATATTTGTACATTTCCTTTCTTGTGCTACAATTTCAGGCTTGATTCATACTTACAATATTCTAGGTTCCAATAATATGTATTGTGAAGCTTCAGATTTGTTTTTATATCTGTGCAAATCAGTAGGTGAATTTTCTTTCAGATTTAGTCCAGTTGTTTCATTTGGAGCAGCGCTATTGGTAGTTATCTCTAACTGTTTCCCATTTTTCACCACATTAAGATATGCATCTAGTAGAGGCAACATTTAGAAGGCATTAATTCATAGGCCTGCCATAAGTTGAAAGCAATTTATATAAATAACTGTGTTAATCTGCTGTAGCAAAAACAACCAATTTTATCTTAAAAACTAATATAGTTTATCTGGCACAAGCCTTTGTAGATCTAAGAAATGTCCTGCTAGGTTCTTAAAATCTGATCCTCTGTGTTTGTGTAGAATTCAGTGAGACATGTTTTCAATTAACTTGTACACAATTTGAGCCTGAGCATAGATATTTATTTAGATCTCCAAACTTTTGAGATTGAGGGCCACACTGTATATTGCTCACATTTTTGAGGGCCATAGGAACATCTGTGCATGCAGCCGCCCCCCTGTCCACACATACGTCTACCCACCCACCCACCTGAAGGGAACGGGCCAGATAAAACTGCAAGGTAGGCTGGATGTGGCCCATGGTTTGCAGTTTGGAGACCCCTGATTTAGACCGTTGTTCCAAGTTGATCAGAAAACAAGATGGAGCTCTGAAATTCATTGACAATCATTTCTTGCTTGCCCACAGATTTATTTTGAACATATGTTGCAAACATGGCTGTCTCTCTTATTATAAAATGGGGTGGTCAAGAATTTTTGATAACCACCTTGTCGGAAGAGGATACAGTGCTGGATCTGAAGCAGTCTCTCAAAGGACTCACTGGGGTACTACCAGAGCGCCAAAAGCTTCTTGGACTTAAAGTGAAAGGTATTTTTTCTTTTCCCATTGTTTTCAGCGTCAGATGAGATTGTCAAACCAGAGGTTATTGCTAAATGGGTGAGATGTTGAGACATATCTATACATGTCTACTGAATTAAGTTGGCATAGGTTTTAAGATTGGATGAGTTCAGTCCTATGTTAACTAATGGAAAGGTTCACCAGTGTGTTAACACACATCTGCAAAGGAAGAGTGGAGACGTGGAAGTACTGTTAAGTGATGGTATGTGTACACTGTTTAATAACCTGGGTGCTTTGTTCAGTCCTCTGAAGCAAGGTTCCCGCTAAGCTCTATGCACATGCGGCTCTGCCTCCCTCTGTGCAGCTTCCTTCCTTTTCCATGCAGTGATTGCTTTCAACCCCTTTGGTTCTGGTTGTGACAGAACCTTGCACATGGGGAGGTGGAGTCATGTGCACACATAAGGTTGAAGTCACGCAAGAGAGAGGCAGAATCCCACCCAGCATGGCTGAAGATTAAAGGGTGTGTTGCTCTCAAGTCTTCTGTAGTTCAACATTTATGATAGGGATGCCAGGTGGTAGGTGACGTAGAACGAAGTGCTTAGCACTTATCATTTGGGATAGGCTTCCCTAAGTTAAATTTGCAACTTGGATATAGAATGGTGGTATCAACAAAATATAGTAGAACTATATAAAAGAAATTCTAGGAACTTTGATCTATGTGACAGTGGAAAAACTTGCCAGAACCAAAGAGGCCAGCCAGAAGTGATTTTTAAAAAGGTCCAACCAAACTTTATATGGCAAGATATTTCCCAGCTTGACTATGATGATTGGGAAGGTCCTGTCTCTAGGATTTCAATTCTAGTCATCCTTTTTTGTGAACTGCTCTGGCATGTAACATGTTGCTTCTAAAGAAAAAGGTAATCTTGGAAATAGAGGGCATAACCTAAAACGAAAGAAGAATGTGTGAAAATCCCAACTTAACATAGAAAAGCTAAGTGTTAGCATATGGATCCCACTAGTGTGAATGTCTAAGCAAAGTAAAAGTGACTTACTTGGGTACAGATCTTTTTCACTGCTCCCAAACAAGTCAAGATTTGCAAATCAGGAGCAATCCCTAGTTTATGATCCTAGCTTTTAAAGAGTGCAGCGAGCCAATAAATTATGTCTACTTCCTTTAGTTGCTTAGAATGGCAGGAGGTGGAGTTAAGTAGGCTATGTGTACTAGCAGACAACTTGTTCATTAAGAGGCAGTACTTTTATAATGTCCTTCATATGTCAGTGTTTACAATTGTTCTATTGTGAGCATGTGAAAAGAGGGAAAAAATAATTTCAGAGACAATTGTTTGTGTTCACAGAAGAAGCTGTAATCTCTGTATTTTCCAGGCAAACCAGCAGAGAATGATGTAAAACTTGGATCATTAAAACTAAAACCTAATACTAAAATTATGATGATGGGGACTCGTGAGGAAAGCTTGGTAAAATACCTTTTTGTATTAAATGTACACACCAGTTTCTAATGTTTAAAATACACTGTGTAAAAATCTACTTTTATTTTTACTATATTTTATCCCATAGACTTTTGGCAGCCTTTAGAAAGAAGTCAATCAAAAACCTGACTGAAAAAAAACATTATTGCTTCAGTGCTGTCTTCAGTAGCTGTTTCCATGTTAATGTTGATCTTCTTGCTGATTTATTGTTGTGCTGATTGTAAACTATTTAGACGGTCACACTATATAAAAACCCTTGTGCAAGTCCATCTCAGTCTTCTCCATAATTCCTCTATCACAGTTTAAAACATTAACTTCTTGAAACACAGTCCTATTCAGCCCAGGGAGCTGAGGCTTGGCTGAATTGCATTCAAATCCCTCAGCGGCAGAGAGTTCTGACGTGTGTGTGGATCCATCATAACTCAGTGCCTCCCCTTCTCTGCCGCACATTTGATGGTTCTGCTGGCTGATTTCAGCCACAGTGCAGCAATTGTTTCCTAAGACTCAAGGCTCGATCCCACTGACAAAGCTCCATGCTATTTTACTAGGTTATCCTTTTTTTAAAAAGAATAAAATTTTAGCATACACATGAGAGGCATGCACGGGTGGAGCACTGTGCCAGTGCAGTGAGTTTTTCTACTCCCCTGCCAGAGGTACATTTATTTTGGGGCGGATTTGTGAATGTCCCATCCTCTTCAAAAAAATTCCTGCTATCAGCTGGGCAGGAGTTTTTTTAAAAAAAGAAGCACCAGGTGCGCTGAAAAGTCAGTGCTAGACTCCTTGCCCCCATTACTTGCTCACCCCTCACTTGCCTGATTATCCTCCTCCTCACTTGTCCCTCCCACTTGATCACCCCCCTCACTCAACCCCTTCACCTTCCTGATAACCCCCCGCTTATTTGCTGCCCTCTCCCTGCCTACCTGGTTGCTCCTTTGCCTGTCTGGTCTTCCCTCCCCCCACATGCTTGGTGCACACTCCCTCAGGCACCCATCCACAGCCTCACCCCTTGCCTCTTTCCCTCATATCCTTCTCCCCTTCTCTTTCCATTCTCCCCAACGGCCCCCGTTGGACACACTTGATAGGAGATGGTTGCAGCGATAATGATGGCAGTGGGGAGCACGTGGTGGCAGCAGGGAGCCTGAATCAGCAGGATGAGGATGCACACACCACCACAAAGGTTTTGGATTCAGGCTTAAGTCCAAATCCAAGAAAATGATCCCTCGACTAGTTTATCCCAGCAGTGGGAACAGGCCCTTGGTTTTGTTAGCAGATATGAGATCAACCAACATCAAGGGGGTTGTGCTGGTAACAGAAGTTTCTGCCTCTTCCAAACCCACTGTAGTCTGTGTATCTTTGAGTGTAGGCTACACTGGAAAGTTCATAAGATTTAGGGCATTACTGCAGCATAGAAAACTGTAGATGCCCAAAAGTGTAAGCACGTGCCTTTTCACTTGCAGCTTCACTCATGAGATTCCCTTCCCCTTAACCTCAAAAACCCCTGTTTGTTAAACTCTCTCCATGCTCCTGGCTTCAGTTCCTTGACTGTATTGCTTAGAGCAGTGGTCCCCAACCTTGGGCCTCCAGATGTTCTTGGATCTCAACTC